TAAACAGTTTATATAGCAAGATGGTATTTGTTACCCTCAAGAACTTTATTATAACAGGGCAATTAGAAGGGAGTATACATAGACAGAGGGTATGGTTACAAGGTGCCTTTGAAGGGATGATCCCCCCCAAACCAACACAAAGGGGTGAGGAAGAAGATTGCACTGGAAGAAGAAGGTGGGAAGGGAGATAGAATGGAGCAGATTATCTCTCATGAAAAGAGGTGTGAAAAAGCTATTATAATGCAAGGGAAGATGGGGATGGTGGTGGGCAAAACTTAAACTTTACTCTCAGCAGAATTGGCTCAAAGAGGGAATAAAGAACGCACTTGGTTAGATACAGAAATCTATTTTACCTTATAAGGAAGTAAAAGGGAATGAAAATAAGAGAATGGAGGAGTGATAAAAGGGAGCATAGATTGGGGACAGGCTGTGATCAGAAGTAAAATACTTATGAGGAGGACAGGTTGGGAAGAAGCTTCTCATAACAAAATGGCTAATATGGAAATGTTTTACATGACTATATATGTATAACCTACATTGGATTACTTACTGTCTCAGGGAGGGGTGGGAGGGAGAGAGGGAGGGATAGAATTTGGAACTCAAAATAAAAAAAAAGAAATGTTAAAATTGTTTTAACATATAACTTGAGTAAAAACAAAATATGCGTCTATATTATTTTTAAAAGAAAATCCATGTTCATCAAGCAGTTCCTGCCTCTAAGGCTCCCTACTCCCATGAATTTAATACGCAACATCACTGGGGTTTTGGCAAACATTTCTTCTCCAAATCTGTCATTCAGTTCACATTTTTCAGCACGTTTTCTTTCATCCTCAAACCACATATTGATGACATTGGATATTAAGCGTAACTTGGAGGAATAGTACCTGCTTTAAAATGGAGAGTTTCAGTGTGTTTTAAATCAGGCCACTTCCTAGGCCTGATTTACTTTGGGAAATTTGTTTAATTCCACAATATTTCTGCTTCACAATATGTCAATAGATTTATCAGAATTCACCATTTTCTCAAAAGGGAAAACCTTTCTAGGCCCACTAAAGGTGAAAAAAAGTCCCATATCTTACAAGCTTATTTGGACTATAGTGTTGAATGAAAAAGAAGTGTAGCATCATTAGTAAAAAATGACTTTTTAAAATCTTAATATTTCAGTGTTTGCTAAAAAGAAGTGGGCATTTAACAACATAGAGGACTTTCAAGCATCCGTAATTAAAAGACCAGAACTGAATAAAAAATTTGATCTCCGAATATAAGATTCAAGTAAACCATAAAAAGATAAAAAAGAAACAAGAAAGAAAATATGCAAGAGAATCAATAAGGTGAAATAGTTTATATTTCTATATAGAAAGATAATATTTGTATCCCTTAAGAACTTTATTACTAAAAGGGCAATGAAAAGGTAGTATACATAGAAGAAGGGTGCAGACACAAGGTGGCTTTGATGGGATGACCCACCCACACCAAACCAAAACAAAAGGGTGAGAAAGAAGGGGATAGAATTTGGAACACAAAATAAAAAGAAAAATGTTAAAACATTGTTTGAACGTGTAATGGAGGGAATATGTGTGTGTATATATATATATGTATATATATATATGTATATATATATGTATATATATGTGTATATATATATATATATATGTATATATATATATATGTGTATATATATGTATATATATGTGTATATATATACATATATATGTATATATATATATATATGTGTATATATATATGTATATATAATATTTTCAAGCAGCACCTGCCTCTAAGGCTTCCTACTTCCATGACCTGTGGCAAGGCATTTAAATTTCCTGAATTTGAATTTCATTTTGTTGTAGTAATTGTTCAGTCATTTTCAGTCATGGCCTCATTTGGGGTTTTCCTGGCAAAGATCCTGGAGTGTTGCCATTTCATTCTTGAGCTCATTTTACAGATGAGGTAAACAGGGTTCAGTGACATGCCCAGGTTCACACAGCTGGCAAGATGAGTCTTCCTGAATCCAGGTCTGGCACTCTGTTCACTCTGCTATCTACCTGCCCTCAAGTCTATAGTCTCATAGCTTTAGAATTTGAAGACCTTAGAAGTCATTGAGTCCAGGTTCATTTTACAGATGATGGAACTGGTGGCCAAAGACTTGGCATCTCTGTCCAGGAAGTGGCTTTCCCAGCATCACACATAGAGAGAAAATATTTGAGTCCAAGTGATCCTGACTTCAGGTCCAATGTTCTATCCACCAAATCAGGTTGCCTCTCACCATTTGTAAATTGAGGGGAGGGGCTAGAAGGTCTCTGAGTTTCCTTCAACCTATGAGCCTGTGAGCCTCTGACCAAGGACCCAAAGAGTCATTTAAGAAGCCCAAGCCTGTGTACTACATCTCCCTTATTACACTAAAGAGGAAAATGAACTGCAAAGTGGGCAGACCCCTTTCCCCATGGCCACATAGTTGGTCAGTGGCAGAGACAGGTCCTCTGATTCCTAAGGGCCTGAAAGACTAGAGAACTACAGGAAACTGAGGACACAAAGAGAGCATGGCAAAAAGTGTTTGCAAAGAAAACCACTCAGAGATATGCCTCTGCCTGAAGTCAACCCCGTAGTTCTGCCTAAAACAGAAAATGTCACAAAACTTATAAGACAATCTTTTCCTGGCATACCCTGTGTCACCAAAAGTTTGGGACTAATTAAAATGTAGTCAGATTTTCTCTTAGAAACAAGATGTTCTAATTAATTCACTGGTTAGTACCTGCAATGTTGGCTAATGCATCACATACTGTGGGAGGCCGAGTCCTTGTAGAAAATCTCTAAGTCCTTATACACTTTAGGGGTCAGTACATATAGAGGCTTGCTGGGGGATAACCCCTCCCATAAATAACCCTTGCCCTAGCTCCATTTGTTATGATTTGTTGATTCTAAGTTCTCACTCATGCTCAGCCTTGAGGCCAGGTGGCTGACTCGGGTAGACAATACTAAGAACTGGGCAGGGAAAACAATAGATATGAATCTGGCATTACAACTACTTTCTCATGAAAAAATGAGAATCTTTAGCTGCTTAGATGGTTTATGTTATTAATTAGCGCTTGAAGATCATTTCTCATGGTACAAAGCTGTTTTCTGTAGTATGTAATCATCTAATGCCTGAAAATACACTAGTCTTATGAGCACTGGCCTCAGGCTCACCTGGCCCAACTTTTCTTTCTCCACTCACCCTTCCCCTTTTTTCTTCACCACTCTGTCTTACATCACGCCGGCTGTTGGTAACATACCAACCTGGGAGAGCTGCTTCGCACTGGCACAGTTGATGCCTCCAACGAAGACCATGTTTGGCATGATCGGTTTAGAGTAATCCATCACAAAGTCTGTCCTCACAAGCCACACAGACCCATGGCTCAGGATATCTGCCACACTCGTGTCTCTCTGAAGAAGTTCTAAAGCCAGGCTTTCATAGGGTTTCAGGAATCCTTGGCACACCATGTTGTGGGGCAAAGGGTATAGAAAGTTTTTAACCCGCTGTAGGAATGTCATGTGGTCCGTGTTTTCTGTGGTCCATTTAGGGACATAGGATGATGGATCAGGGCACTGAGTGCTTTCAGTATCTAAACCGCAGGGAGTCCTCTCAAGAAATAAACAGCTGGAATGGACAGATAAAGAGCCAGAAAGGGTCCACAGATATTAGCAGGATCAGTTAAAACGGCATCATAGTGGGCCTCTTCCAAGGACTTCATCAGTTCCTTGTTGTGGACTAGGTCCACACAAAAGCTAAAGTACATGTCACTCACCATCTTAAAGAGTACAGCAATGTCAAAGAATCTCTTCAGAAGAGGTTTCTGGTCAAACGACCATTGGAAATGAGACCCGATTAACTCATGAAAACGGTCCTTGCTGAAAGTGACTGGAAAGGTCCTCAAAGCATAGTACCATCCTTCCCTGATGTGCCCGGACAGCTCTGGTGCCAGGACAACACTCTCATGGCCTTTCAGATTGAGCTCCTGGACCACTTGACGCATGCTGAGCCAGTGGCTGCCGTCAAAGGGGATCACCAACAGCTTACCCCCTTTGGCAGAGCGTAGGCAAGCAGCACAGAAAACCAGCCCCACCAGAGCCCAGGGCCAAGGTCGGATCCCCGTGGCCATCGCTGCAAGGTCCAGAAGCTCTGAGAGTGAGCAGGATCTGGAAAGCCTGCTCTGGTCCCTGTCTTAATAACTCAGTGCCTTATCTTTGCCTGGTCATGAAAGCACTAAATTTTATGAGGCAAAAGATACTTTGAAGAGAGAATGAACTTTTGGCTGTCCACTCATATGATTGACTTCCTAGATTAATCATTAAAAATAATGTCAATGTCTCTATCTCTGTCATATTTGATTTCTCTTCCTTTTGACCAAAATATTTCATTTGGCAACCTGTCAGTCAACATATTAAGGGTGAGTATCAATGGGCAAGAGGAGGCAGAAGGGGATCATCCAGGAATTGTGGGCCCAGAAGAGAAGGTGGGGCGTGTGAGAAGCATAGGGTGAGAAGCCTGATCAGACACCAGTGGACAAACTACATGCTTTTCTGGTGCTCCTGAAATATTAGTAGACCTAAAGAAAGGCCTTGACTGGGGGCAGCAAGGTGGTGCAGTGGATAGACCACTGGCCTTGAAGTCAGGAGAACCCGAGTTCAAATCTGGCCTCAGACCAAACACTTGACACTTACTAGCTGTGTGACCCTGGGCAAGTCATTTAACCCCAATTGCCAAAAAAAAAAAAAGGCCTTGATTCAGTTAGACAGCAGTAGTATTTCTAGGAAGACATGGGCAAGAACCATCCTGGATAAACAAGTAAGGAAGAGTGTGATCTGGGCTAGTGGAGGGAAGGCATGGCACAGACCCCACAGAGCATCAAATAGTCTTCTCTCTCCTGCTTCCGAGAACAGAACAACCTCCCCTGGTGTCCCACCAACCAGATTTCCACACCACAATGGCAGGTATAAAATGATCAACTCCTTAAATGCAGGTAATCATATTTCTTTGGGCTTCATATTAAAATCACTAAGATCCATTTTTATGTAGAGTACAGGAACATGTTTCTTTTCCTTTTTATATCCACAATCTCTCTGTAGACCTCCAGTGTATATGGTCAAATACCTATAGGACATCCTGACCTGGATGTCCCAGATACAGTTTCAACTCACAGTGTCCAAAATGTAAGTAACTCTCTCACCCCAAACTCACACTTTTAGACTCCCCTTTACTGTCCAGGGCACCACCATTTCCTCCCCCTAATCCAAGCACACAGGCTGGAAACCCAGGTATCATCCTCACCTTCTCACTCTCTTATTAACCCCGATTACCAGTTTGGTCACCATGTCCTCTCAATTCCACCTCAGAAGCATGTCTTGGATACACCCCTTACCTCTGACAATGCCACCACCCTGCTACAGGCCCTCATCACCACATTCAAAGCCCTTCATCACCAGCGCCCTCCTATGTTTCTAGTCTTTCTATTTTTCTTATACGTCATGCCCCAACACATATATTTGGATCCAGTGACCCTCCCACCTACACTGGGACCCAGTGACACTGGTGTCCTGGCTCTTCTGCCCATATGACCATTCATCCCCGGACTCTGGGCAATTTTCCTGGCTGCCTGCCCTCCATGACTGGAATTCTCTTCCTCCTTCTCTCTTGTCTCCTGCCTCCTCTGCCTTCCTTCAGGTCTCCAGTAGAGTATTCACTTCCACAAGAAGCCCTTCCTGTCACTGCCTTCCATCTGTCGATGTTCTTCATTTTCTCCTGTTGATGCCTTTTTGTATGGGCGTGTTTCCATGCTTGATCCTCTCATTAGACTGTGAGCTCCTTGAGGGCAGGGACTGTCCTTTTGTCTTTCTCTGCACGTCCAGCACTTTGCACAGGGTCTGACATACATTAGGCACTTAATAAATGCTTGCTGATTTGACCTGACATCACCTCGAGAGCCCAAGACAATGCCTTGTACAGAGTAGAGATTTACTAAATACTATTATATAAATGAGCAATCTACAAACTACTGACTGGTCACTCCACCCCCTCCTCACGTGTGCCATGATAAATACTTCCATGTTGCTGTCTCCTACCTTGTCATCACCCCTCCCCCATAGTGACAGTAGTATAATAGACAGGGAGAGCCCTGGCCAGAGGCTCAGGAAATGGTCCCCCACACACTTTGTGATCTTGGGTAAGTCACTGAATGTCTCCAGCTCTCAGTGGCTTCATCTGAAAAGCCTGAAGTTCTGTTAGATCTGCTGGAAAGATTTCTTTGTAATCTTGACTTTGAATGCGATTGAAGCATTCTTTTTCACTGTTTTTTCTCTTGGTTTTTTTGTGGGTTTTTTTTTGCAAGATGGTTAACAAGGAAATACTTATTCCATGACTTCACGTATAGCTGCTATCATATTGCTTGACTTCTCAAGGGGTGAGAAGAAGGGAGAGAATTTGAAAGTAAAATTTTCAGAAAAAGAATGTTAAAAATCTTGTTAACGTGATTGGGAAGTATTTAATAAAAAAAATACAAATATATGGGGAAAAAAGATTTTTTTCTGTTCTAAACTTTGAGGATTGATCCCATCTTTCCTGCCCAAATTTATCTCCTGTTCTTCTCATACAAATCTTTTCCACCAGGATCATTTATCTAGAACTGAAATGATTAATCTAGTCCAATCCTCTCATCATATAGATGAGGAAACTGAGGCCCTGAGACAAGTGACGTACCCAAGGTCACTCAGAAAGGATCAGAGCTGGGATTAGAAACTAGGTCCTAGATCTCAAGAGAATAGCCGTAAGAAGGGTTAGTGGGGACACTAGAGACCACCAAGTCCAAGTCCCTCATTTGAAACCTAAGGAAAATGAGAACCAGGAAGGAAATGTGACTTCCTCAGGTCACTCAGCTAGTACAGAGCAGAGATTGGAATATGAACCTGAATGCCCAGCCTTCAAGTCCAGGGCCCTTGCTATTCTATTCCTTCCTTCCTTCCGTCCTTCCTTCCCTCCTTCCTTCTTTCCTTCCTTCCATCTTTCTCCCCCACTCCACTAAGTGAATGTCCTGGTTGTTCCCTTAGTTGGAAATGCCACCCCCTTCTGTATTGGAATACAGTCAGTCAGTCTGTCCTCTGGGTCAGCAGACATGCACAAATTTAAGGTACCAGGATCTCTTCTATCCAGAACAATAACAGTGTGATTGGTTGAATCAGTGATGGGGAATGGCACAATCTACTAATTCATTTCAATGCATGTCAGTTCCAGCCAGCAAACATTGACCAGACATCCATCACAGGCCAGGTCCGAGGCAGAGTTAAGAGGTAGAAGAGCCCAAGAAAGCAAAAATCACAAACCTGTGGTAGTCTTTTCCTTGGTTTGCAGTTTATTCCTCCAATGAAGGCCATGTTGGGCATGATGGGCCGGGGATACTCAAACACAAAATCATATCTCAACAGCCAAATGGATCCTTGTCCATAGAGGCTTGGCAGGGTCACCTCTTTCTTTAGGAAGTCTGCAGCAATGTCTAGGTATTTTGTGTACAAGTCCTTGAAGAGGAGGGTCTCTAAATAATTCACCAGGAAGTTGATTACTCTCTGATAGAAGGTCATCTGGTGAGAAAAGGCAGTATAGCATCTGGGGATGGTAGATATGGGGTTGGGGGTCCTGCTCATCGTATGCTCCAAAGCACAGGGAAAGCCTCAGAAAAAGTGTACAGAAGTAATGGAGAGATGCTCGGCCAGGATCATCCCACATAGCAAGGCAGGGTCTGTGAAGAGGGCATCAAATTGGCTTTCTTTGAGGTATCTGATGGTCTCAGGGTCCTTCAGCAGGCTGTCACAGTTGAGGAAGTACATGTCGATGACAAGCTGGACGTTCCAGTACTCAACCCAGGCTTTACTCAGGAAAGATCTCTCTGCAAAGAGATTGTGGCCAAATGTCTGGAATCGCTTCTCCATTTCAGAGTGGAAGTAGGAGACTGGGTAGAGTTTTCTTTTGTAGAATTTTGATTCTTTAAGGAGCAAATTGACTTCAGGCACTAGGACCATAATTTCATGCCCCTTCTTACTGAGCTCTTCAATCACATCCCACATGCTGAGCCAATGACTTCCATCTTGAGGGAAAACCAGGAGTTTCTCACTTTCAGCCTTGGCCCAGAAACTCAAGAAGAAAAGGCTCCGTACTCCCCAATAGAAGGGGAGAAAAATGTGAGCTTTCATGTTGGAAATAAAGAAAAATCTCTCTTCTCTTTCCCCAAAGCTCTGGAGGAATTTTTGTCTCCAAGCAGATCTAAGTCTACACATTAATATTTACCTTTGACTGGGCATGCAGAGTCCAGGTGTGAGCATGGTCCTTCCCTGAAATGATACCTCCCTCATTTTAGCAACCACATAGGCTGCAGATCAGCTTTCACCTCCAAGATGTCAAGTCACACCTTGCGGCACACCTTGCACAACTCTTTTATGAGTAAAGATATATAACCAGTGGGTTTGACAAGTTTGCAATGGCCATAAAACTAGGTGAGGTGGTTAATATGTTGGATGACAACCAAATTCAAGCAGACTTCCATGGGCTGAAAGAATGGTCAGCCTAATTTAAAAATATAAAATCAAGAGATATCAACCTAAACTCTTATAACTCTTGGTCCAAAAATAAGCTGGACACATACAAGTTAGAAGAGATTTGGCTTGAAAAAGGACCTGGTGATATTAGTGTACCTCAAACTCAATGAGTGTCAACAGTGGGAAGAGAGGCAAATAATGGAACCATAACTTCTGTCAAAGAACCACAGCCTGTAGCTGCAGTTGGAGAAAGCTAAGAGCCTCATATACTGTTGCCTTGATGAGACTATGTCCTGCAGTATCATGTCCAGTTCTGGACAAAGTGGAAATGGGCCTTGAGAAGTGGTTTTTAACCTGGGATCCTTTAACTTGGTTTTTCAGTATTTTGATACCTGCATTTCAATACATTTCACTTCATTGTGTACTTTATTCCTAGGTATTTTATTTCACACACTTCAGAATAAGATTCTGAGAAGGGAGGGCTCCATAGGCTTCCCTAGACTGTTACCTAAGAGAACCAGCACACAAAAAGAGTGAAGAACTCCAGCTCCAGGGGTTGGTGAACAGCATTCCAAAGCATCAGGAAACCATGTCACGGAGGGGAGGAAACCCTGAATGAAAGGGAGCTCTTATCCTGGTGAAGACAAGTCTTGGAGGAGGGAAAGGGAGGACCAGAGGCTGAAACAAGCAGCCCATTTGGCCACCCTGCCTGACAGACAGTTCCTCCCATTCCTCTCAGGATCCCAAGCCAGGTGGTAGGACAGGGTTGCCGTCATCAAAGATCTGAAGAGCTGCCATGTGACAGAGGTTTCTAGAGTTCATCCATGGGTCTCCAAAAGGTAGAACTGTGACTAATGCGTGAAGGCTCCTGAGGGACAGATTGCTGTGGCATCATGGCACCATTGGATTCTAGATGGAGAGCAGCATGGGACCTCAGAGTTCACCTGTGTTCACTTTACAGAGAAGGAGAGAGAGAGACTGGGGAAGCCAAGGAAGCCCCTGACTTCTCTCCACACTCAGCTCTGGAGTAATCATGGCTTGGTATCAACCCTCCACCCCACCCCAGGCTTAAACATTAACCCTGCCAGGCAGCTGGGACAGGTACTAGACAAATGCAAAGATCAAGGTTCTGAGAAGTTCAGTTACTTGTCTCACGTCACACAGCTCTTCAGCTGTGCTCCTTCTCTCCTCATGTATCCACCACCTAGGTCAGACCCTCATCACCATCACCTTTCATAAGGACTATCAAATGACTTTCTAATACAGCGGCATCTAGGTGGGATGAAGGATAGTGCACTGGACCTGGAGTCAGGGACATTCAAGTTCAAATCTGGCTACAGACAGGCTATTACAGCAAGAACGGCATTTGTTCTAGGACTCTTTTTCTCTGAATCCCTTTGAAAAAGATGAGAATAACAACCAAATTCTTGTAGTGTTGTCTAGGCAATCACTAGCACCCAGACCAGGAAGGGTCTCTGTCTGTTAGGAAGGGAGCCAGTGAAGCAAGGGGATCTGGACGATCCAGCAGGTGGCGATAGGGAGCTACATCCTCACCTGAGTAGGGCAAAGGTGAAGCCACATCCCAAGATAGGATTCTAGGGATTGAAACATGGCCCCTGGCCTTGTTGCAGGGCCCTGGAGATAGCTAGTACCACAGGACCTGAGTTCAAATCCAGTCCCTGTGGGATTTTGGCTTTCTATCTTTGGTCTCATTTTCCTCATCTGTAAAATGGGGAGGTTGGGTCAGAAAGCTCTTGAGGTTCCTCCCACTCCCCATTCAGGTGAGTCCTCTCATCCCTCTAAATCTGTTTCTATGTCTCTCAAATGAAGTGGCGACCTGAAGGAAGGACACCCAGAGCCTCTGCCTGTCCCAGAGGGCTGAACGATGGTGACAGAGTGAGACAATTTATGGGACAGCCAACAACAGTGGGCGATTAAGAGATCAGGGGCCACATGGCTCCTCAAGGCTCACCAGTCCAGGCTTGCCATGGCTAAGCACACAGGTGCATGGGTTCCCAGGGTTTTGTGGGCTTGTTCTCTGCCCCACCCTCATTCCCATGGCTTTGGCCGCCAGCCCCAACCAGAGCATGAAATGTGCTCGCACGCAGTCCCTAAAGCTGATTCTTTTGTGGCACATTTTAGAAGCTTTCCCAGTGAACATGGCACCAGGAAAAGTCAAGGTGTGTGCTTCAAAGGGCTAAGGCCATCCCTACCCAGAAAACTCAGCCATGGAAAATGACAGCCTTTGATGGTTCTGGAGGGAGAGGCCTGTTTTTTACCGGGCTTAAGTTAGCTCATCCCTATCAAATCATTCCAATGAGCATCTCAATCCAATAAGAACCTACTATGAAAAGCAGTGGAGCACCTTGAAGAATGAAGAAAGTGAGAAAGTGAGTGAGAAAGACCTGGGTTCCAATCTCTGTCCACATTTGAGACACTTGCTGGCTGTGTCAGCAATGTTAAGGGACACCGGGCAGAGGAGCAGCCCTCCGGGCCCCAGGCCACTCTCGAGGACCCTAGGGGCAGAGCGGGCACCTCTCTGTCTTAGTAGGAGTTTTCTCAGCTGGCTGTGTCATCGGCAAGTGATCTCTTCTGTCTGAGGTTCATCTGTAAAACTGGGGGAAGGGGAATTCTCATCTGTGATCATGAGATTTGGGCACTGGGGATACAAAAGGGAAACTGAAACAGTCTCCACCCTCAAGGGGCTTCTGTTCTACTGTAGGCAAAGTGATGTCAAGAGGGAGAGGCTCAGGTAAACCTGTGGAGGGCAGAGTAGTAGGGAAGATGGCCCAGCCCAGGGGGACAGAGTGCCTAGAGTGGGGATAGCTGGTAAGGCCAGAGAGGATCGGTATCAGAGCTGGGTAGATGACATGGTTCAATGACGGCCATCTTCCTGGCTGGATTGTAGCTGGGGCCATCAGAATGTTCTCCTTGCTCCCCCCTTCATGATGCAGAGGGGACCTTGGCTTCACAAAGGCCATGCCAGGGTAGTCCAAGCTCTGGGAGGGCCACTTGGGGTGAAAGGTGTGATGCACATGCATGCCTGATGGTGGACCAGTCAGGCGAAGTTGGCAGAGCACAGCCACACATGAGGACCACTCACTAAGGCACTGAAGGGTCATTGAAGTAGTGTGGTGGCCTCAAAGAATAGGGCTCAAATCCTGCTTCAGATTCATCCTGACTGGGTGACCCTGGGTAAGTCCCAGGTGCAGTCCCCATCTCCTCTCCCTGCTGGGCCCATAAGCTTGTAAGAGGTCCTTTGTGCCACCCCGATGACCAATGAGGCAGCTGTCTGCCTCCCCCTCTCCAGCCAACACACCACAAAGACTTGGGCTGCTGCCGAGCTGGCCTGGGAAGCGCCTGGCTTACTGTCTATCTACCCCAGGGCCTCATTTCCTAATCAGTTCTTGGGGTCTCTGGGGGAGGCACTGCCAAGAAAGACCTTCGGGGTGTGCATTTTGCAACCCTGCTCTGGCAACTTCACCGACCAGGCGAGAGCCTTCACCAGGGACTCAGTTGGAATATTACCATCAGTTCTGGATTTTGGGGCAAGTCCCACAAGTCCCACCCTGAAGAAGACTGCTTGAATGATACCATCCATGTATGCTCAAAGAGGTCAGAAAAAGGAAGACAGGCAACAAGATAACAGAGCAAGTCGGCCATACCAGAGATAGAGATCTGAACCTGGAATCTGGAAGACCTGAGTTCAAATCTAGCCTCAACACTTACTAGCTGTGTGACCCTGGGCAAGTCACTGGACCACTCTCTACCTTAATTTCTACATCTGTAAAATGGGGATAATAGTAGCACCTACTTCCCAGGGTTGTCATAAGGCTCAAATGACATATTAGATGGGAAGCACTTGTCCCAGTGCCTGGCACATAGTAGGCACTAATATAAATGTTAGCAATTTTTATTGTCACTATTAATGGAAAAACGTGGGGCTAGCAGACCTGAGTTGTAGTCCTTGGTGACTTTAAACTTGGCTCTTCCTAGGTGCTTAATCAATGTCTATTGACTATAAACCTTCAAGTGCTGTTCAGATGCCTGCTATTAGTTTGGTCCAGGAGGAAAGCAGAGAAAATGGACCTCTCTGCCCTTTTTGCAGAGGTGGGGGCCTATGGATACAGAATAGTACACACTCTGTCAGCTGTGGTCTATGTGCTGGTTTATGTTACTGCACTGCTTCTCCCCCCCCCTTTTTGTGTTGTTTTAAGGGATGGTTCACTGAGGAGGGCAGGAAGAAGGGGTACACTGAGAAAGGAAACAGTATGTAAAAACAAAGAGTATCGACAAAAAGACAAAAAATTTAAGTCCTCTCAAATTAGCTGTTTCCAGGAAAATTCCATTGAGAAGGTGGGTTGGGAGGGATTTGGGGCTTTGCAAAACAAGACCCAATGAGAAGGACAAAAATGCTTTGGAGCTGCAAGGAGCGTGGGGGAGGCAGAGTGGGCCGGGCTACACAGCACTTCCTGGGGGGCATGGCCAAAAGGAGAAGAGACTGGGAAGAAACCACCCCTACTGACTTCCCTTTTTTTTTTTAGGCAATTGGGGTTAAGTGACTTGCCCAGGGTCACACAGCTGGTAAGTGTCAAGTGTTTGCTCTGAAGCCTGATTTGAACTCAGGTCCTTCTGACTTCAGGGCTGGTGTTCTATCTCCCTGACTTCCTGTTTTAGCCAACTGTTCACTTGCTAACTACATGGAATCGCAGCTGTTTCTGCTGGCAGAACGAGTCTTTGCAGACATCTCCACTCATGCTGTCTTCTCTTGGGCCATCCCTTCCACGGCTTCCCCATCTGCCCTGTGGACATCCCCGCTAGAATGTAAGCTCCTGGAGGGCAGGGGCTGAGTGGCTTGCTTTAGTTTATATTTTCAGTCCACATTTTCTGGCACATAAGAAGCACTTAATATTCTCTGTCTCTGTCTCTGTCTCTGTCTCTGTCTCTCTTATCTCTCTGTGTCTCTCCTCTCTGTCTCTCTCCTTTCTCTGTGTCTCTGTCTCTGTCTCTGTCTCTCTCTGCTCTCTCTGTCTTTGTCTGTCTCTCTCTTCTCTCTGTCTCTGTCGCTCTCTCTCTCTCTCTCTCTCTCTCTGTTTCTCCTCTCTCTGTCTCTCTTTCCTTCTTCCTTCTCTCTCTTTCTACATATATATGCACAATATATATATGACATTAAACATGTCTCTTAATAATTATATCTAATATTTTGATTCTGACCAGTTATTGGTGGATTAAGCCCAAACTCTCCCCATCTCACTAGCTGGTTCTTCTTCACATGTTTGCAAAGTGGGTATTAGGCAATTTCCTTTTCACCAGTTGTCAAGGGAAATAGGGGATAGAGATTTGATCCATGATTTCACTACTGTAGTGAGCTCCCAGGTGAGAAAACCTCTGCTGATGCAGGTTGGTGCCTTCCCTGCAATCTGTAGTCTTAGAGCTCTGCCTAGAGCCCTGAGCACTTAAGTGACTTGCCCAGGACCACACAGCCATGGTGTGTCAGAGACCCAGGTCTGTCCTGGCTCTGAGGCTGGCATGCCGGGTGTTACTATGCCTCCCTTCCTCTCATCACAAGCACCATCTCTTCTCAGAAGTCACCTCCTTTCTCTCTGTGTCTTCAGCTCTTCTTACATAATAATACATCAACCAAGCCATGCCATCTCCCCAGCTCCTCTTGGGCTCGCTCTTGGAATCATCTCTCCCCAGTTTGTCAAGTAGGGAGGTCCTCATAGTCACAAAGGGCCAGACCACAAGCTCTCTCCCAGACTCCATCAGTAGAAGCCCACCTGGTCAGGCAGCTCTCTCCCTCGCCTTGGCTGCCCTTACTCCCAGGTCACAGCTCCCGCATCCACCTTGGCCCTGACTGAGGGAAGGGGCTTTGCCTCAGGTTGTTTCCTCTAAACCTGTGCTTTTGATTTAGTGTGTTTAAAAGCGTGCTTCTGGGATAGACCCCATCCACTTCAGCAGACTGCCTACCAAAGGGGTGTAGGGCTTGAAAAGAATCCCTGGGCGTCCCTGTCTCTTCAGGGTGTGGGATCAAATTCCTTTGGGGTAGAAAGGAGCTCAGGAGCCACTCACCCAATGGGGTGAGGCACAGATTAACTTATTTGTTTGGCCTGGCCCTTGACAAACAAATTGACAGGATGGATTAATGAGAAATTGAGGCTTCGGGTCCCTGCTGAGCCTCAGCATTAACTAGCCTGTGGTCCCCAAAGGCCTTTGCCAGGCACATCTCTCAGATAAGCGTGTACTGCACAATTTGGAGACTTGGCTGTTTACCTGGGCTCCAAATGCACTTGACCTGCCTCCCTATCATTTACCACTTTCTGCTCAGCGTGCTGATGGTAGACCAACTTAATGCACACAATTTTTTCTGTGATAAAAAAAATAACCTGTTTGAACTGCTTTAGGCCAAAGAAAAAGAAATATACTACTCTACACCGCCTTGCAGAGGCGACAGAGCTGGCTGGGTGAGCCATCCCAGCTCCCTGACAGCTTCCTTGGCCTGATTGCTCCCAAACTGGTCTCGCCCAAAGAGGACGCTTGAGAAATGCTTCTTGCCTGGGTGATGACCCTTGCCTAGCAGAGAGCAGCAAGGACACTGGGAGGTTAACAGGGTCAGCCATTAAACCCTTCTCTACCCTCTTCTGTGGATGAAAGTCTTTTAGAAAAGCAACCAGCCAAGCAACTTTGCCAATACAAGTCCAACTTAGCTCTTGGAGATCCTGCCCCACCAGGCCCATGGAGAGGATCAGCTCTCACTGCTCAAGGCTGCCGACATCCAGAGGACCCAGAGTGGGCAGAAATACCCTGGCATTTTTTAAAAGGCTTGACATGAGTGTAACTGATTCTCTATTGCTGACAAAGTAGGATGCCAAGGGCTACCCAGCCCAAACCCTTTTCTTTCTGCCTTAACTGGTTTGCTAGACGGCCCCCGTTCAGGACAGTCCACCCTCTGCCTCCATGCCTTTACCCAAGTGAGTCCTCTCCCTTTCCATATCTCCATCTCTTAGAATCCCTAGCTTCCTCCAAAGCACAGCTCAAGGACCTCCCCTGACCCAAGACCCTGGAAGCCATCACAGCGGCTCCCACCTGACCTGTTTAAATAGCCTGTCAAGTCAGAAACAGGAGAAATGAACAGAAGTAAACACGTTGATTAGAATCATAGGTGCAGGGATAGAATGGGCTCCAGAGCCCATTGACAAGAGGGATCTGCCATGCTTGTTCTACCCACAGTGTGGGACCACCACACAGCGGAATTCATGCTCTTCAGACCTCAATCTACTGTGTGAGGAAGGGGACATGGCTCTTAGGAAGGTGAGGTTGGAAAGTGCTCGGGGCCCGATTGGAGGCCTCACTGGACTTAGGATCTCATTGATTCTGGAGCTCCCACTGATGATCAAGTTGCAGTCTGCCCGTCTCTGCCCAACACAGAAGATTTTTGTCTGTACGTCCTCCCATAGGTTTTCCATGGGAGTCCACTCTTTGTGAGTGAGGTCTTCCCTTATGTATGTATTTATTCGTTTATTTTTGGCCATGGCAATCCGTAGTCAAAGACTCAGAAGGAATCTGCACCCGAGGTAGCACAATGTAAAGACTGTCAGACCCACTCAGAGATGGATTTCCTAGAGATCTCAAAGATAGGCAGGTTCCAAGAGAAGGCAAAGGTCATAGTTGCCCCTTCTCTCTCCCCCCAAAGAAAACCCAGAAATCTGCATTCATTCACTCATTCAACAAAAAAGATCCTCACTGTCTGCAGGGGCCTGCCTCCACGAATGTTCTCAAAGAGCTTACAAACTGATGATGGGGGAGGGGGAAAGAGAAGATGTGAACAAATTGATTCTCAGAAGACTGAATGCAGAGCCAGAAGTCGTGGAGTCCAGCTCTCTCCCTTAGAAATTGAGTCCCCTGAGCCCTGGAGAAGCAGTGATTCCTTCCAAGTGCTGAGTTGGGCTATTAAAGAAAGACCATGGAGGCCACCTGCACTCTTGCCTCTCCCCTATATCCCATTGGATGGAAGTTCTGACTGAACAGAAAGAGGGCCTACCTCGGGCAGAAGTCTGCTCGGGCGGCAGTGCAAGCCTCCATCAAAGACCATGTTGGGCGTGACTGGCCGAGGAAACTCGAAAACAGAATCATATCTCAACAGCCAGACAGCAGCCTGCTTCAAAAGGTCCCTGACGTGCCCGTCCCCGTGGAGAAACCCTGAGGCAATTCTGTCGAATATGGCGTGCAAGTAGTAACAGGAGAATGGCTCCATGGAGGAGACGAAGATGTTGGGCGGCCTTTGCAGGAAGGTCGTATGATCTGTAAATGTGAAGAGGAGCCTTGGCACACAGGCAGGGGGGCTCGGACACTGCGCTGAGCTGTAGTCCAAGTTGCACATCAGCCCCCGGCTCAGGTCGGCAGAAGGAAGCGAGAGGTGCTCGGCGAGGATCGTCCCACAGACTGAGAGGGGGTTGATGAGGATGGCGTCAAAGTGACTCTTGCAGGTCCTGGATGAGCTCAGTGCTCTTCAGCAAACTCTCACAGGAAGTCTCCATAAGTTTTGCAAACGGCCTTGTGCTTTGCAAAATCTTGACAAAAGGCAGGGGCCATGGGTGCTTCTGAAGATTGGCCAGCACAAAGACATTCAAGGCTTCACTGAGCTGCTCTCCGGTGTATGGGACCTGGTATATTTTAGTGGTAAAGGTGTCCCGGCTCTTCATCCGCTAGCTCGTGTGGGGCAGGAGAACCACTACCTTGTGGCCCCTTCAGCTGAGCCCCCTCCAGAACAGGACGCATGGTGAGCCAGTGGCTGCCCTCCATGGGCACCACCAGCAGCTTGTCCCCAGTAGCCAGGGCAAGCAATGGCAGGAAGAACTTGAAGAGAAGAGACTCCCGCTGGGACATTTGCCCTGGAAATGAAGATGCCTGCAGCCCACTGGGCTTCAACTGAGCAAGGCAAAAGAAGCCCAGATTTAAGAGTTACTGTCAAGGGGATGAGCTCAAACATTGACCCTGGAGTTATTCGTAGATGACCATGGCTCCTTGCCATCCCTTCAGTTTAAGGGAACTGAAGCATCCCATTCTATTTGTTATTCGTATTTGCCTGCAACCATAAAACCCCTAAGGGGTTGGATTTAGAGGTCATTTAGTACAGGGGTGGGGAACCTGCAGCCTCGAGGCTACATGTGGCTCTCTAGGTCCTCACTGCTAAATTGTAGTCCAATTACTTTTCATATGCAAAAATCCTTCCCTACCCCTTATGAAGTTCAACAAACCTTTGTCCACATTAATCTTCAACACCTCCATGGATGGCGAAGTCCCTGGCACATAGTAGGTACTTAATAAAGGTTTGATGAATGAATAAATGAATGAACTAGGTGACATTTCATTTTTGGACACCTCTGATTGACAGAAAACAACTGTCAAAAGGGGCAGCTAAGTGGAACAGTGCATAGAGCACTGGGCTTGGAATCAGAAAGACTCATCTTCCTGAGTTCAAATCCAGCCTCAGACATGTAATAGTAGCCGTGTGACCCTGGGCAAGTCACTTCACTCTGTTTGCCTCAGTTTCCTCATCTGTAAAATAAGCTGGAGAAGGAAATGGCAAACTACTTCAATATCCTTGCTAAGAAAACCCCACATGGGGTCACGCCGAGTCACACGTGACAGCAGCAGCCACAACAACCACAGGATACATCTGGAAGGGGTGAGTAGGCAGAGAAAGGAGGCCAATCACTGCTTTCTTTTTTCCCCCCCAACAAATTTCACCTAATGCTATTCCTACCAAGAAAAGGGGGAGGAACACTGCTTCCTCCTCCTCTTTCTTTCTTTTTTTTTATTATTATTTTTATTTTTAAAAAAATTTATTTTTCCATATGCTTTTGAGTTGAAAATTTTTTCTCCCTTTTTCTCCCCCCCCCCCACTCCTCCTCCTCTTTCTGCCAAGGCTTCCAGGACTCATATCTCGAAGCTAGGACTTCAAGACATCAGGACCAGGGGCAGCTAGTTGGCACAGTGGATAGAGCACTGGCCCTGGATTCAGGAGGACAAAAGATTGGGGCCAGGGGCATCCAGGTGGCACAGTGAATAGAGCACCGGCCCTGGATTCAGAAGGAGAAAAGATCAGGACTAGCTCACGATCCCCAAGCTTGAGAAAGTGTCTGAGCTTCTGTGGACAAAGATAATTCTACCATGAGCCAGTGCTCTGACAGGAGGAGATATTTAGTGTCAGTTTATGGGGTCATAGGTCAAAGCAGGAAAGGACTTCAGCCAGCATCCATCTAATTACCCCTCCCCTCATTTTACAGATGGGGAAAATGAGGCTTAGCCTTCCCTCCATTTAAAGGGACTTGCCCAAAGTCACACAGGTAATGAACAGCAGAGTCAATAATCAAACCCAGCTCATAAAATCATAGATTTAAAGTTGGAAGGAACAAGAATCAAGCAGTCCTTGCCTTCAGGAAGCTTACATTTTTCCTGAGAGATGACATGAATACATACAAATATATCCTAAAAATACATGCAATAAATATGAGGTCACTTTCTTACAGAAGGAGTGTGCTGGCAGCTGGGGGCTCGGGAAAGGCTTTGTGAAGGTAGGTAATGTTGCTTGAACTCAGCTTTGAGGAAAACTGGAGATGCCAAGGGTCAGAGATGAGGACGTAGTGCGTTTATGTCTCACCTACGCACCTAATTACTTCCTAATTAGCCTCCCTGCTTTGACTCTTTCTTTTCTAATCCAGGGCTTCTTAAACTTTTTCCACTCTCAATCCCTTTTCACCTGAGAAACTTTTACACAACTCCAGGTATATAGGTATATATATAAAAAATTATATAGAATGTTATATATAATATAATAATAGATATAAATAATACTTATTATGATGATAATAAATCACAAAGAAATTTATTTTAAAACAATTCTTTGATATACGTGTAATTTTACCATTTATTAAAGATGAAAGCAAATTTGCATACTAATGAGATGGATGTACTTGTTTATTTTTACATAAAGAATTAAGTCTTGGTGGAATATTTGATGCTGCAGGACAGAGAGCATCTTTAGCATTTTTCAGAGTTGATTGATATTTTGATTTTATAGTCGTCAATGCTAAGAACTCCCTTTGCATAAATACATAGTACAAAATGGTATGTCTAGGGCCATTTCAGAAGTTGTCGGAAATTCTGTCCTAATCCCACGCTGAAATCCATTTAACAATTTTGTGCGTACAGTAGAAACGCTGCCATTTTTAACAGACCGTAGTCTCGAATCTGAGCAGAGCTGTTTCTGGCAGCGTTTATTGGCGCTGCTCGGTGTAAGGTCACGCATAGCGCAAAGTGCGTGTGTTGCGTGCTTGGTGAAGTGGCGTGATGCGACATGGGGAAGCGCGGTTCATGAGGCTTTGAATTAAGTTTTGGTCATTGCGTGTTCAGAAAACGTGACCCGCTGACAAGTTTTTGTGATCCCACATACGGGCTCAGGCCTCACACTGAGAAGCGCTGCTCTACTCCACCTCTGCGCATCTGCCGAAGTGGTTTTCCTCCAGCCGAGGTTCTGAGCACGTCACTCCCAGCTTAAAAGGCTGCGGCAGGTCCCTATGATCTATCACTAGGCAATAATGCACGAGAACGGAGGGGCTGCTGAAGCCCTGACGAATGCCTCCATCTTACTGGAGCCAGGTCACATGCTTAGTTCTACTGAAAAGCTTCCAAACAGGGGGCTCGATTTCCTCTGGTTCAGACGTGCGGAGGCATGATGCCTGGAAGGGACCGGGAAGAACCGAGGGAGGCCTAGGCAAGAGCAGGCCTTATCAGTTAGTCTTTCCTGCCTTGCTTGGCGACTCTGAGAAGATTGAACCAAGAGGGACTATAGAACCCAGCCCATGGACCCTTACAGCCGGAAGGGACGGAGTGCCCTGGACCCTCCGGTGGGACCCCACCGTCTGCAGAGCTTTCCTTCTGGGGAGCTCCCCAATGGCCCCAAGATCAGCCAGTGAATGAGAGGAGATGCGTGGGTCACAGGTTCCACCCCTTGCCAGCCAACAACGCAAAAAAACCAGTTTCGCTTGTTAGAGGCTGCAAGGGAAATCCCAGCTAAGGCAGAAGACCCTACATACCAATTACACCTTTTATTCGTCTGCACTCACTCCCAAGCCGAGGGTGCAATTGGCCTCTAGGGGTTCATAGATGTTCTCTTCACCGAGCCAGGGGAGTAAAATAAAGGCGCCTGTCTACGGCACAAGAACAGGATGGCTTGCAGAGCTGCCTTGGGGCGAGCTGACTGACCAAGGTTCAGAGACAGCAGGACCTGCCAGGGACTTGGAGATCATTCAATCCAACCCCATCATTGTTTTTAAACAGAGGAGAATTAGGGACCAGAGAGTGGGAGAGACTTGTCTGAGGCCGCACAGCTCCTCATCCTCCACCGATCCAGTGTCAGAAAGCACTTTAGTCATTATCTAATCCAAATCTCTCATTTTAGGAGGGAGGAAACTGAGGCCCAGAACGAGTTAGTCACTAGCCTGAGGGATATAGGTAGTAAATGAAAGAGCTGAGATTTGAACCCAGGTCCTCTGACTCCAAATCCAGAGCCCTTTCCTTGCACTGTGCCCAACCCCTTCATTTTACAGAAAGGGAAGCTGAGACTCACTTGTCCAGAGTCACTCGGTGGGTCAGTGGCTGAGCCAGGAAGAGAAACCAGATCTCTTGACTCTTAGACCAGCACACTCTGCTTCCATTCATCTCTTGTATCCTCTTTCACACTCATGGGAGAGATCAATGTTGATAAATCAAAACAGAGAGGTAGCCTGGCCCCACCTCCAGGGTGTCCTCCGACCTTGTTTTATTGATGAATGGAATTCTCAGAATAAAGACTCTCTCTGCCAATGCCAATGAGCCGCAGCTCTGCTTCTTAGCGAGTTACCTGGGAATGCTGAGCGGTTACTCAGTTACACAGCCAGCATGTATCTATTGGAGTTGAGACTAGAACCCAGGTTTTCCTACCTCAGGCAACCCTCCATCTACCATGCCAAGCTCCCTCTCAACTAATTAACATAAACCTCAACAAAAGAAATCATGAGATATCATGAGATAATGGGTGGGACTTGGAGTCAAGAAGACCAGGGCTCAGATTTTGCCTCTGATACTTACTAGCTGAATGACCCTGGATAAGTCACTTAACTACCCTCAACCTCAGTTTCCTCATCTGTATATATAATAGCTCCTAACTCCCAGAGTTCTAAGGATCAAATTAAGAAATATTTGTGAAGTGTTTTGCAAACCTCATTAAACTGTAAGCTCCTTGAGGGCCAAAACTGACTTTTACCTCTTTTTGTATTCCCAGAACTTAGCACAGTGACTGACACATAGTAGGCACTTAATACATGTTTACTGATTGATCAAAATCTTAACTCTTTGACCACTACTACGATTATGATCACGATGATGATTAAGAAATGACCGATAAATGTGAACTGAAGGCATCTTGACTTGAGGCATTTAGAAAGCCTTCTTCCTGCTCCCATTCCTCCTCCCAAACCAAGACCTCTTGTGCACAAAGAAGATGACTCACCTGAGACAGGAGCTTCCCCTCATGGCAGGTGATGCCACCAACATACACCACATTGGGCATCAAGGGCTTGGGGTAGTCGAAGACAAAGTCACCTCTCAGCAGCCAGATGGACGTGTCTCCGTACAGTTCCTTCAAGGTCATGGGCCTTTGGAGAACATCAGTGGCAAAATCCAAGGTCTTTTGGAAGAAAAAGGGACACAGCAACATTTCCTGAAGATGGGTGATAGAATTCCAAACGCGTTCCATGAAGGTCATGGAGTCTGAGAGCCCAGTGAGTCCTCGAGGGATGTAAGACAGGGGACCGGGGGACTGGGTCGCCTCCTCATGGTAATGGCAAAAGAGCCCCGAGCAAAGGCCACTGATGGGAGGGAGAAGTACTTGGCCACAATGAAGCCGCATTGGTCAAAAGGATCGAAAAAGATGGCATCAAATGCACTCTCCTTTATGTACTGCAACAGCTCAGTGTTTTTAAATAGACTGTTGCAGTTTGAAAAAACATACTCAAAGAATGAAGTGATGTTTGGGTTCATCAACATGAGCAGGCCTTTATCTATGTCATCCCACTGGTTATCAGAAAATCTCTTGAATACCCGGTTGAGGTCTTCGAAGCTGTAGGAGGGCTTGTATGTTTTCACGGTGTATGGGGCTGTCTTCACCAGCCTCCAGCTCACCTCAGGGATGATGACCACCAACTCGTGTCCTCTCTGATGCAGCTCCTCCACCACCATACGCATGCTGAGCCAGTGGCTCCCATCCATGGGCAACACCAGCAGCTTGCCTGCCTCTGCCACACCACCAACCAGCAGGAGAAATGTCCAGAGGGGAATGAGGCCACCAGGCTGAAGGGGAGAAGCCATTGGGGCTAGAAGCACAGAGGAAGCCAGCTGTTGTGTAGGGCTTCTGAGGAAGCCTCCCAGTGAAAGGGAGTGGAAGGAAGGCTGCCAGCACGAAGGGAGGGTGCCCTTCTTATACAATAATGGCATTAGTCAATGATTGACTAATCGCATGTGCTAATCAGGGCACACTCACGGAGCACAGATAGTCTTTAATCATCTAGGAGGAGCACACTTTAACCCCAATTTTGAGCATGCTTCATAAATGCCTCTGGCAGGACTAATGAATTGGGTAACCACACAGTAGAGCCCCTACAGGAGACTTCATATGGAACTTTTAAAGATAAAAATTTGGAGAAGGTGACCAGTGGAATTTGGGGATGGGTGACGCAGTGGGAGTGCAACCAGCATTTCCCTGTGTGTGTCAGGCAGTCAACACACATTTATTAAACACCAGCTGTGTGCCATGCACTGGAGATATAAGGAAAGGCCAAAGCCAGCCTTTGTCCTCTAGGAATTCACATTCTAGTGGGGATATGCCTGCAAACAACTATGTCCAAACAAGATAATGTGGAGGGCAGGAGTATGAAAAGAGATCAGGGAAGGCTTCCTGTAGAAGGCAGGATTTTAGCTGGAACACTGCCAGGAGGCAGAGATGAGGAAGGAGAGCACCCAAGGCATGGGGGATGGCTAGAGAGAATCCTTGGCAGATGAAGCATCATGTGTGAAGACCCAGCAAGGAGGCCGGCTCAGTAGGATCAACGTTCAGTGGCAGAGAAAAGGTGTGAGATGATGAGAAAGGTGAGGGGGGGGGCAGCTCCGCAAGCTGTCCTACTACAGAGACACTAGCTGTCTATCCTTACAGCTGTGTGAGCAAAGGGAACCCTGCCTGTGTTCATGCATGGGCGTGTATGTGTGTATGAGCTTGGGTATGTGCACGTGTGCATGTGCATGTCCTACCACAGCAGTGTCTGCGCTGGTGCTTGTGAGGAGGGGTGTGAGGTGTGTGTTTTGCTTCATGTGCACGTAACTACTTGTGTGCATTTGTGTCTGTGTGTGCCTATATGTGTGTACATGCCTGTAACTGCCTGTGTGTGCCTGTATTTGTTGTGAGAGAGACCCTCAGTCTGGCCAGGGCATCTTCAGCAGACATTGAGCTCAGCACACCTTGACATGATTTCAGGAGGAGGGAGGCAGAGGAAGATCCCAAGTACAACAAAGGGTAGATGTTTCTCTTAATGTCTTCAGCAGAAAAAATAGAAAGGAACAGCACTGGGTTTGTTTAATTAATCTTTCACCCTGGCAAAGCCAACTGGGTGTCATGGTATGGTGGGCAGAGTGAATCTTGCCTGAGACACTTACTAGTGTTTGACAATTGGAAAGTAACTTAACCCCTCTCTCTCAGCCTGTTTCCTCATCTGCAAGAAGGGAGTGAGAGGTGGACTCAACCTCTCAGGCCCTTTTCAGTTCTGAATTGGGAAGCCTATACACTTCCTCTGTGGTGAGAGATGGGCCAAGGGGAGAGCTTACCAGAGTGGTGTACAAAACCATAGGGTCACAATTGAGGAAAAGATCTTGCCAACAGTCAAGTCAATAAGTGTTGGATCAGAAGTCAACAAACCTCGGTGCAAATGAGATCCTCTGATTTATTCAATCCAGGTCTCTTTTCTCTTCCACTGTTAACTCTGCCAGCTCCCCATCTCCCTCCCACCATTTTGTCATCTCATCTTTACTGGATGCCTATCTGGGAGCCCAGATTTGTGATTTCTGGGTCAAGGGACCAGGCAAGGTAGAGAAACCTTTAGACTCAAAAGTATGGTTCTATATAGGTTTGGCAACCCTGTTAGCAGGAAGGCTTCCCTAGTCCAACCAGCTGAAGACACTTCCATCCTCCTGCACCAAGGGCAACGTTCAGAGAAATAAAGGAAATGGAATAACCAACATGCAGTGTAAGCAATAAAATGGGGTTGGAGCCAATTAAAATCTTGTGTAATTCTAGGCTCAACTTTAGCCCAAAGTCCTTTGAGTTGTTAGAGAGGCCCCACATTCTACTAAAGCAGTAACTGAAACCAGTGCTAGGGGCACCTACTGGTAAGTTACTTAACCATCTGTGTTTGCAAAAATGGATCCAGCTCCCATCTGAGGAGAGCCATAAAGAGTGGGGAATGGATAAATTCTTAGGATTGGGTAGATGGATATAGAGTATTAGAGAGAGGAAGGGCCTTAGAGTTGATTTAATCCACCCCACTCCCATTTTACAGATGAGGAAATTGAGTCCCAGAGCCAACTGAGTGACCCTCTGAAGGCCAATATAATGCATTTTAGAGGCTGGCTTTGGTGTTGACAAACTGAGTGAAGATCCAAGGTCTGCTATTTACTCTTTGAGTGTCCTTCACCAAAACACTTTTACCTTTGTGGCCCTCAGTTTCCTCTTCTATGAAATTTCAATAATAAGCTGAACTGGAAGAAAAAAAAAGTGAATTGAACACAAGTGCAACAAGCATTCCTGGAAGAGCTAAAGAATGATTTTCAAAAAAAAAAAGAAAAATGATTTTAAAAATCAAATAAGAGTGATAGAGGGGAAAAAATAGGCAAAGAAATGAAAGCAAAGAAAGAAAATTATGAAAAGACAATAGCTTGGTAAAGAAAAAAAAGGGAGGAGGATATTGAAGAAAATAACACCTTAAAAAACAGAATTGATCAAATGGAAAAAGACATACAAAAATCACTGATAAACATAAATCCTTAAAAATTAGAATTGGGCAAGCAGAAGCCAATGACTTCATGAGATATCAAAAACAATAAAACAAAATTTTAAAAAAGGAAAAAGTTGAAGAAAATGTGAAATATTTATTAGAAAGCAATTGACCTGGACAATAGATGAAGGAGAGATACTTTAAGAATTATTGGAATCCTACTTGAAAGCCATGATCAAAGAAAGAGCATAAACAAAATAGCAAGGAAAACTGTCCTCATATCCTAGAACCAGAGGATAAAAAAGGAATGGAAAGAATCTACTGATCACCACCCTAAAGAGATCCCAAAATGAAAATTCCTAGGAATATTATAGTCAAATTCCAAAGCTTCCAGGCCAAAGAGAAAATACGTCAAGCAACAAGAAAGAAGCCACTCAAATATCATGGAGCCATAGTCAGGATAACACAAGATTCAGCAGCTACAACGTTAAAGCAATGGAGAACTTGGAATATGATATTCTAGAGGGCAAAAGAGCTGGAATTACAACCAATAATAACCTACCCAGCAAAACTGAGTATAAGTCTTTGGGGGAGGTGGGGTGTGGTGGAATGGATATTTAATAAAACTGATGACTTTTAAACATTCCTGATGAAAAGACCAGAGCTGAATAAAAAATTTGACTTTCAAATGTAAGACTCAAGAGAAGCATAAAAAAGCAAACACGAAAGCGAAATCATAAAGGACTTAATAAAGTTAAACTTACAAAGTCCCTAATTTCCTTTAAGATGTTGTTCAACTACCAGCTTTTACATGAAAAATTTCCGTAAATACCTAACCCCTTCCTAAACCTTGTATTTTTTGTAGCTATTCTGTATACATTTATGCCATATAATAATAATAAATAATAATAATAAATAATAAATAATAATGACCAACATTAATATAATGCCTACTATGTGCCAGGCACTGTGCTAGGCAAGATTTAAAAATTTTATCTCATTGGATCATCACAACTATCCTGGGAGGTTGTATACCTTTCTATATGAAAAGGTGATGCATATATCATCTAAGAACTTTATCATTATTAGGGTAGTTAGAAAGATTCTACATAGAAAGGGAGTGTAGGAGTGAGTCAGTTATGTAGGGATGATGTGAAAAAATGGATAGGTGAGAAAGAGGGATGCCCTGGGAGAAGGGGCAAAGGAGAGGAAGAATGGAAAAAATTATCTCACATAAAAGAAGCAAGCAAGGAAGAGCTTTTACAATGGAGGGGAAAATGGTAGGGAGGCAGTCAGGCAACACATGAATCTCACATCTAAGTTGGTTCAAAAAGGGAAACTATATATATATACATACACTCAATTGTTAATAGAAATCTATTTTATTTAACAGGGAAGTAGAAGGGGAAGGGGATAAGAGAAAGGAGAGAAGATCAAAGGGAGAGTTGATTTAAAAATGCAGTGGTCAGAAACAAAAAAGGTTTTAGAGGAAGGCCAGGATAAGAAGAGAGAGAAAAGAAGATAAATGCAAGAAAATAGGATAGCGAGAAATGCATAGTTAGTAATTATAACTGTGAATGTAAATGGGATGAACTCACCCATAAAACAGAAGCAGATGGCAGAATGAATTAGAAAGCAGAATCCAACAATATGTTTACAAGAAATACACTTGAAATAGAGAGACAAATACAGAGTTAAAATAAGGAGTTGGAGTGGAATTTTGTGCTTCAGCTGAAGGCAAGGGTAGCAATCATGATCTCAGAAAAAGCAAATGCAAAGACAGACCTAATTAAAAGGGATAAGTAGGGAAACTACATCTTACTAAAAGGGAATATAGACATTGAAGTAATATCAGTATTAAACATGTATGCACCAAATGGCATAACATCCAATTCTTAAAGGAAAGCTAAATGAATTATAAGAGGAAATAGACAGTTAAACTATACTAGTGGGGGATCTCAACTTTCCCCTCTCAGAGCTAGATAAATCTAATGATAAAATAAATAAGAAAAAAGTTAAGAGGATGAATAGAATCTTAGAAAAGTTAGATATGCTAGAACTCTGGAGAAAACTGAATGGGAACAAAAAGGAGTATACCTTTTTCTCAGCTGTACATGGTACCTTTACAAAAATTGGTCATGTATTAGGGCATAAAAACCTCACAACTAAATGCAGAAATATTAAATGCACTGTTTTCCAACCACAACGAAGTAAAAATACATTTTAATAAAGAGCCATGGAAGCAGAGAATAAAAGCTAATTGAAAGCTAAATAATGAAATCTGAAAGAATGAGTCAAAAAACAAATAATAGAAACAATCAATAATTTCGTTAAAGAGAATTTCAATAATGAGATGACATCCCAAAGTTTGTGAGATGCAGCTAAAATAGTACTTGGGGAAATTTATATCTCTATATGTGTA